ATGGCTATTGTAGCTGGAAACGGCTGATTTTTTTAAATGGAATATCTACATAGGCGTTCAGAGGCCCATTATCAGCAACCATCAGTCCTGTGTTCCAATGGCACGTTGTGTATGCTAATCCAAGTTTATCATTTTAAAAGGCTAATTGATCATTAGAAAACCCTTTTGCAATTATGTTAGCACAGCTGAAAACTGTTGTGCTGATTAAAGAAGCAATACAACTGGCTTTCTTGAGACTAGTTGAGTATCTGGAGCATCAGCAATTGTGGGTTCGATTACAGCCTCAAAATGGCCAGAAACAAATAACTTTCTTCTGAAACTCGTCAGTCTATTCATGTTCTGAGAAAAATGAAGGCTATTCCATGCGAGAAATTGCCAAGAAACTGAAGATCTCTTACAACGCTGTGTACTACTCCCTTCACAGAATAGCGCAAACTGCCTCTAACCAGAATAGAAAGAGGAGTGGGAGGCCCCGGTGCACAACTGAGCAAGAGGACAAATACATTAGAATGTCTAGTTTGAGAAACAGACGCCTCACAGGTCCTCAACTGGCAGCTTCATTAAATAGTACCCGCAAAACACCAGTCTCAACGTCAACAGTGAAGAGGCGACTCCGGGATGCTGACCTTCGGCGTACAGAGGCCCATTATCAGCAACCATCCTTCCTGTGTTCCAATGGCACGTTGTGTTTGCTAATCCAAGTTTATCATTTTAAAACGCTAATTGATCATTAGAAAACCCTTTTGCAATTATGTTAGCACAGCTGAAAACTGTTGTGCTGATTAAAGAAGCAATAAAACGGGCTTTCTTGAGACTAGTTGTGTATCTGGAGCGGCAGGTAGCTTAGTGGTTAAGAGCGTTGTGCCAGTAACCGAAAGGTCGCTGGTTCTAATCCCCGAGCCGACTAGGTGAAAAATCTGTCGATGTGCTTGAGCAAGGCACTTAACCCTAATTGCTCCTGTAAGTCGCTCTGGATAAGAGCGTCTGCTAAATGACTAAAATCAAAATCAGCAATTGTGGGTTCGATTACAGGCTCAAAATGGCCAGAAACAAAATCTGCCGTTTCCAGCTACAATAGCCATTTACAACATTAACAATGTCTACACTGTATTTCTGATCAATTCGATGTTATTTTATTGGACAAAAAAAAATATTTTTTCTTTCGAAAACAAGGACATTTCTAAGTGACCCCAAACTTTTGAACGGTAGTGTACATCCTTTGCCTGCCTTGTAGGCTAGGCCAGGGGTTGGAAATCTTTTCTGTTTCAAGACCCACTGAAACACTTTTTAAAAAATCTGGGGACCCCTACATCAGAAATCAAGTTAAGACACTTATAAAAATGACATTTCACAATGTGTTAATGCCTACATACATACTAAATGTGAGATGTTTTAGCCTTACTGCTGTTATTTTAAATGTTTTAGCTTTATCTCCTGAAAGCTGTCTGAGGCCCCCTAGTTGAGAAACAGTGGACTTCTTAGGAAATGTTTGTTTGAGTAAATCATAAAATAACACATTGACACTATTTGGTTTCAAATCGATAGACAAGCAGCCTATACAAGCACTATTCCCATAGCACTGTCTCCCTCATCCCCCTTATACCTGGGGAAAATTATGGCTGAACTTTTTTAACCTCTGTGTGTGTGTGTGTCACTCTGTTCGTTGGCCCAGTATTGACGGCCAGCCATTCGTCTGAGGGGATCAGGTGATTGCAGACACTCCTCCCCCTCCCCTCCCCCCAAACACACTCGCTCCACCAGGCAACGCTTTGGCAGGCAGGCTGGGAGAGCGTCTCCCTCTCTCCCCCTCCCTCTCTTTTCTTTTGTCTCTCTCTCCCTTTATCTCTGTGTGGGGACAAGTTTCCCACTCTGCTAATGGACGGCCATGTGAGATGTCACTAGTCTCTTAGGCAAGACTCCAAAGTTCACTCATGTTTACTGAGGAGCTCTGGTGTTTCTCGCGCTCTCTTTCCCACTATTTGTAATTCTCACTCTGTTCCTGACTGTGGGCAAAGCTAGGGCTTCACACTTTGACAGAACTGCTTGCTCTCTCTTCCAAAACAAGGTTAGTGGTATTTCTGCTCCTTGGTGTGAATGGGATGTTATTTTATGAATATTGACATCGCTAAGATGATGGAGACATTTTTTATCTCACTAGTAATACCGTGTTAAACTCAGAATCACCTGTTTGACTGTGAACTGATGCACCTACTGTAGTGAAATAGATAGGCTATACCGGTAGTTTAAGCGTGCATGCTATTATCTGCTTGTAGATGCCAGACGCACTGTAACAACTGTTTGTATTATTAGACTGTTTGCAGAGTTGATATTGCCGGCTACAGTTTTGACATTTGACTGCCATGGTTGTTTGGTGAAGGAAGCAGTCCAAGGCATTGCAAGCTGATGTAAATGACTCCTTGATTCTTGAGCATCGGATAAAGTTGTTTTCTGGCCCTCTTCAGTGCTATCTGCAGGAAAGGCTCTGTCGCAGCCGGCCTCGACCGGGAGACTCATGGGCGGCGCACAATTGGCCCAGCGTCGTCCAGGGTAGGGGAAGGAATGGCCGGCAGGGATGTAGCTCAGTTGATAGAGCATGGCGTTTGCAACGCCAGGGTTGTGGGTTCGATTCCCACGGGGGGGCAGTATAAAAATAAATAAATACATGTATTCACTAACTGTAAGTCGCTCTGGATAAGAGCGTCTGCTAAATGACTAAAATGTAAATGTAAATGTAAACCGCCTTCATTTAATGGGCCATTTAAAACATGGGTCCTACAGACCTACACCACACCCTGTTATGCCTTGGCTTTATGGCATCCATCACAACTCCTCAGGCCAGTGAAGTTAGAACAGAACCTTGAAGTATTGAGAAAGTGTATTGGGAAATCATAGTCAGCCCACAGAGAAATATGCACATGTAACACGCGTCACTGTGCTTGCTTAACAGTATAGCTTCCTTCCTCACAAGTCCTTACTGACCTTGATCTCGGATCCTCTGCTTCTCAAACACAAGTGACCCACGCTTGACTACGCTGTTGACTACGCTGTTGAAAAGCTAGCAGTTCGATAGCACAGGTTGAGACGTTTCAAGCTGGGGAATGAGGTTACGAATCCAACTCGTTTACACTCACACCTCTAAACTCACTCCACAGTGACCCCAGTCGTTGAGCAGAGCGCAACTGCAGATCCGGGTCACAGCACCACTTCTGCCCGCTTGACAGTCTTAGCAAACTATAGAAAAGCTAGCAGTTCGATAGCTTGAAATGTCTCCACCCACGCAAAGTAGTGAGGTTATGAATCCAACTCTGTTACACACACACACAGGATGGTGAGAGTGAGTGTGTGTTTCAGAGGGACGAAGTCTATGTTCTCTCAGCCCTGTGTTCCCTCAGTTCCCTCAGCCCTATATGTTCAAATTACTTGAGTAGATGCTGAGATACATGTTGTTGTTTTTTATCTCAGAAAATGCCATTTGGGCTGCTGGAATATTGACTCAAGGTCATAGTGATTAAACATAATTCAGTAGGTTCCATATATACCCTCACATTTGTGTAGATGCTGAAATACTCAGCATGTTCTACATTATAACAATAAGCATTGGTGCCAATTCTGATTGAAACTGGTTCAGTGGGTACTGAGGGACCATAGGGTGGACCTCTGTTTGGATGCTTGAGGTCACTCAGGTCCACACTCTGTGGGTGGGACCTCCTGTGGAGTTGGTACAGCTGGCCTGTAGTACACACACAGCCATTGATTTGACTCTTTGTTTCTAGGATGTGATTTGACAAAAACAGTGTGACTTTGACTTAATGCTCATTCCGTTATTAGGCCACTGTGTAGTTTGCAGTGTTTTATGATGGGTTCGGTATAGCTTTGTAAAGTAGCCTATTTTATTATTGAGATTGGAAATAGGAAGGGGGCACAGTAGGTGAAATGTCTGTAGTGGATACAGTATTACTAATTCTGTAGTATTACTAATGATAGTAATATGTGGGAGGGAGGGGAGTGGTGCAGGCCTGCTGTTTGGGGGTGTGTGGGATCTAGAGTTAGCAAAGATGACACACCAGTATCCCAGAGAGCTTGAATGGGGCCAATTTAGAGACTTTGTCGCTATAATTAGCGAGTTTTGAAACCCCTCCAGAGACTGTTATTGTTAAGAGCCTAGCAACAAATTCAGTGACTTATCAGGCTGCCTTGGAGAGTTTTGCCACCAAGGGGTTTTGATAGCATTTGGCGACTTTTCCCACTCAATTCTGGGAGTAGCGATCTGCAACAGAAGTCACAGCAACAGCGCACAAACAGTTAGCACTTTGTGACAACTGCTGATGTAAAAAGAGCTTTATAAAATATATTTGATTGATTGATAGGCATAGAAGCAAGGGGAGAGGGTGTGCGGCGGGAGAGGGGAGCGAAAACACTAAGTTGGGGACCGCAGCAAGGCAATTTTGTGCTGTGACGTCGAGGGAAAAAAAAGTTGGCAACACTGAATGGGGCTAGTTTAGGAGTTGGACACCTGGTGTGGGTGTCTGTGTGTGTGAAAAAGAGAGTGAGAAAGGGAGTGAGTAAATGAGTTGCTGGACTTGTTCCAACTAGGTGAAAGGGTGTGAGTGTGTGTGGGGGGTGGGGGGGGGGGGGGGTGGTATGCAGACGTGTACATATCAGTAAGAGTGAGAGAGAGGTTATGTGCAATGCCATTTGGGTGAAAGGGAGTTTATTTTTATGGGCAAGCTGTGTTTTTAGCCTGATAGTTTCCTATTTTACATTGGGGAAATATAAATGGAAATAAATCACAGAGACTTCTCAGCCTGTCTGCTGAACTCCTCAGAATCAACCTGCTCTTTCAAGGTATTTTCTTATCACAGATTTCTGAATTATTCAGTTGTATTTTGTTTGCAGTCTTTTTTTTTTTATTGTTGCTGTCATGTCACAATTTTGGCCATTTGGTGCAAGTTAGATACTTTTTGGGGAAATAGCTGATTGTTCAGATCATCCCGTCTTTAAACTGATTGTGAATAGTTTGTAATGATGTTCCTCTCTGTCCCTCAGGTCTGTGGTGTTGGCTGACGGGCCGTGCAAACGGGGCTTGTGAAGGGAACCCACCGTGGTAAGTTGCACTGGAATTTCTGAAAATTATCACGCTTCCACTATTAACCCAGCCTCATAAAAGGGGTCAGGAGTTTTCCCTGACCATGTGACCTGACTAGGAAAACTCTGGGTCATAGCCAATAAGGACCTTTTCCTGGTCAGGTCAGTTGGTCAGGGGAAACTCCTTGCCCTACTCATATTCATAAACATCCTTCTTTAAAGGGTAGGAAGTTTTTACTCACCAAAGTAACAACAGTGTGGTCAAATACTTAGTAACTTAGTTGTAGTCCCGATCTGGTTACCTATAACTACAAACATAGTTATGTTTTTTTTAATATACAGTACCAGTCAAAAGTTTAGACACACCTACTCATTCAAGGGTTTTTCTTTATTTTTACTATTTTCTACATTGTAGGATAATAGTGAAGACATCAAAACTATGAAATAACACATATGGAATCATGTAGTAACCAAAAAAGTGTTAAACAAATCAGAATCTATGTTATATTTGAGAATCTTCAAATAGCCACCCTTTGCCTTGATGACAGCTTTGCAGCACACTCTTGGCATTCTCTCAACCAATGGTCTAATGTCCATTGCTCGTGTTTCTTGGCCCAAGCAGGTCTTTTCTTCTTATTGGTGTCCTTTAGTAGTGGTTTCTTTGCAGCAATTCGACCATGAAGGCCTGATTCACACAGTCCCCTCTGCACAGTTGATGTTGAGATGTCTGTGACTTGAACTTTGTGAAGCATTTATTTGGGCTGCAATTTCTGAGGCTGGTAACTCTAATGAATGTATCCTCTGCAGCAGAGGTAACTCTGGGTCTTCCATTCCTGTGGCGGTCCTCATGAGAGCCAGTTTCATCATAGCGCTTGATGGTTTTTGCGACTGCATTTGAAGAAACTTTCAAAGTTCTTGACATTTTCCGTATTGACTGTCATTTCTCTTTGCTTATTTGAGCTGTTCTTGCCATAATATGGACTTGGTCTTTTACCAAAAATGTCTATCTTCTGTATACCCCCACTACCTTGTCACAACACAACTGATTGGCTCAAACGCATTAAGATGGAAAGAAATTCCACAAATTAACTTTTAAGAAGGCACAACTGTTAATTCAAATGCATTCCAGGTGACTACCTCATGAAGCTGGTTGAGAGAATGCCAAGAGTGTGCAAAGCTGTCATCAAGGCAAAGGGTGGCTATTTGAATAATCTCTAATATAAAATATATTTTGATTTGTTTAACACTTTTTTGGTTATTACATGATTCAATATGTGTTATTTAATAGTTGTGATGTCTTCACTATTATTCTACAATGTAAAAAATAGTAAAAATAAAGAAAAACCCTTGAATGAGTAGGTGTGTCCAAACTTTTGACTGGTAGTGTATATATATTTTTAACTTATTTTGGATATCTTCGGAACTACCCACAATGCACTATTTATCAACGTCATATGGAGAACCGGTGCTACCTGGTGGTATTTTCCACTGAATTAAATGAAAATGCATTGTTTCTTTATGGTGTTCTTCCCCAGGTTGGCCGTAGTGTGTGGATAGTCCTGCTAGCCCCCAGACAGCCCTGGCCATGGGGCTGATAGCGTACATCAAGAGCCTGTTCATCCTGCAGCTGCTGGTTGGCTTTGTGTTTGTGGTCAGCGGCCTCATCATCAACTTCATCCAGCTGTGCACCTGCGTCCTATGGCCCATCGACAGGCAGCTCTACAGAAAGATCAACACCCGCCTCTCCTACTCCCTCTGGAGCCGTGAGTCACACTCGAAGTCTTGAGTCATGTGTTGTATTTGTTTGTGTGTGAGGGGGGATAGGCTCAGAGCTGCACATTCTGTCTGTTGTCCCAAAACAAACCAGTCTTAAATGCAGTGCAAACTCCACCCACATGGTGTACTGGTTTTGGTGTTCCCCTCTATCCCTCTCGTTGCTGTGTTGTGTACATTCCTCTCTCATGCGGTCTGTGTGCAGAGTTGCCAGTGAACAACAGGCACAATGGATTCTGGTCGTTGTAGTTCATTACCACAAACTAGGTTGAATATTTGTCTATTGAAAACTACAACGCCCTACAGCATCCCACAGTTCGTTCTTGATTTGATGTCTCTCATGCTTGATAGGATTTCTCTAGAGAAACGCACTTTGAGCTCACAAATAAAACGAACTAATTGGAATTCAAGTAATTGAACCAACTTCGGTCAATTTGTTGTTTAATAATCAGAAAACATAAAAATAATTTGGTTAATCGTTGATAGTGTGCTTGATAATCATGAGCAGACTTGGGATTGACTGGTTGATGCGCAGATAGTGCTCTGCGGCTGGACCATGTGTGAACGCTACGGCGTTCATGGAGTGAGTATCTTTGTGTGTGTGTAGTGGTCGCAAAGCCTGTATCAAAGGAAGCCGATTCATTGAGCCTCCTTATTGGCTACACCCACAGGGTATTATTTTCATTAGGAAGACGATAGCTTGTTTGCTAGCATAGGCACGTAACTTGAGAGCTAAACATAAACTGTTGTTGACTGAGTTTACACTGAAGTGATTTTTACAGGTTCAAAGTTTGTGTCGGAATTGAGAATGGTGTAGTGTAGTTCATTGCAACGGTTCGTTGTGACTGGGTCGTTGTGACTGTGTGTAAAAGGTTTGGGGTCAATTTCATTTCAATTCAGGAAGTAAACTCAACAACAACCAAAAATTGTAAGAAAAAATTGAATTGAAATGTTAGTTTACTCTTAAGAATTGACTGTATTGAAATGGAATTGACACCAGTTTGATGTGACTGGGTGGTTCATTGTAACGGAGTTGACACTGGTTCGTTGTCTTAACTCTGCTGGCCCTCGCTGTCCTATAGAGCTGGTAATGCTGCTGGAGTGGTGGTCGGGCACAGAATGCACCATATTCACAGACCAGGCCACGGTGGACAAGTTTGGCAAGGAGCATGTCATCATCATCCTCAACCACAACTACGAGATCGACTTCCTCTGCGGCTGGACCATGTGTGAACGCTACGGCGTGCTTGGAGTGAGTACCTGTGTGTGTGTGTGTGTGTGTGAGAGATAGAGAGAGGGAATGAGTGAAGGCTGCCTATAATTACTGTTTATGAAAATATTATGTTTGGTAGGTTGGCTGAATGATCTCGTTTCGTCTTGTCTTCTCTCAGGCTTCAAAGGTCTTGGCCAAGTATGAACTGCTGAAGGTGCCTCTGATTGGCTGGACCTGGTACTTCCTGGAGATCGTCTTCTGTAAGAGGAAGTGGGAGGAGGACAGAGACACCGTGTTCAAAGGCCTGACCCAGCTAAAGGATTACCCTGAGTTTATGTGGGTGAGTAGGACGACAAACAGACAACACAATGACCTTTGCCCCTCTCCCTCTGACCGTCCGCACGTCTCTGTATGGATTTGTACCCTGGGTCGTCTTCATTAGGCATCAAACAGATGAAAAACGGACTGAAACAGGGAGGGACCACCTGGACGTATCCAATAAGAAACGCACATTTCTGTTTACCGTTGCATAATGTTTTCCACTGAGTGGACACGCCCCAGAGTTGTCGGTGGGTACGTGCACACAATTTAAGCCAGTAATCTGACAAACTCTCATGGGGGAAAATGCAAGGGAAGAGAGGGTCTGAGGGGAGGAATCAAATAAATACAACTGAGATTCTGTGTGTGTGTTGTTTGTGCATGTGTATTTGTTACTGCAGACAGTGTTGCCAGAAAGGCACATCAGGGTGTGTCTGAGGTAGTTCACCTCTGTTGGCGTTCCTACCTTCTGTAGTTTCCACTGGGACACATAGGGATTACAAGGTCATGAGCTTAAGTGTGTTGTGTTTACCGCTCCAAAGACAACAGGGTCACCTCCAAAGACAGCAACAGTGCGTGTGTGTTGACTTGTCTCTCTCTCTCTCTCCATCTTTCTTCAGTTCCTCTTGTACTGTGAAGGCACCCGTTTCACACCGAAGAAGCATGAGATCAGTATGGAGGTAGCAGAGAGTAAAGGTCTACCAAAACTCAAATACCATCTGCTGCCCAGAACCAAAGGCTTCACCACAACACTGAGCTGTCTCAAGGGCACAGGTAGGACACACACACACACAAGCACCTTCACACACACATTTGCAGCACACTCATTATCGAACTCTTTCCTTTCTCAGTATCTGCTGTGTACGACGTGACACTAAATTTCAGAGACAAGAAGGTCCCAACGCTGCTGGGAATCGTCAGTGGAAAGAAGTACATGGCAGATATGAATATCAAGTAGGTGGCGCCTGTCTCTCTCCCACAAACAAAGGCAGTGCACTGGTGACTTACTGTATCACCAATACAGTGACTTGCTGCCCTTTAGTAGCATTGTACTGAACTGACAGTTCCTCTCCTTCCTGTATAGGCGGTACCCAGTGGAGGAAATCCCAGAGGACGAGAAGGAGTGTGCAACCTGGCTTCACGAGCTCTACCAGCGGAAGGTACTGGGAACTCAACTTTCCAAGTCAATGACTCTCTCCACTAATATAATATTGACAACATTCTCTCTTTCTTTCCTTTTCTCTCTGTAGGATGCACTGCAGGAGCACTACGAGAAGGAGGGCAGTTTCCCCGGTCCCACCATCAAGCCCCCCCGTCGGCTGTGGACGCTGCTCAACTTCCTCTTCTGGGCCACATTGCTTCTCACCCCCCTCCTCAACTTCGCCTGTGGGGTGTTTGTCAGCGGCTCTCCCCTCCTCATCGTCGGCTTCTTGATCTTCTGCATCATCGGTGCGGATGCCACCCATTTAGCCTGCGCTAAACCTACTGCTTTTTCCAAGTGCCTTATGTTGTTAGGACCTGCCTATACCATATCATCTCATTTTGACTCATTATTGGGTGGTTTCCCGAACACAGAATAAACCTAGTCCTAGACTAAAAAGCTATTTAAATAGAGATTCTCCATTAAGCATGCGTTTTAGTCCAGGACTAGGCTTAATCCGCTCTAAATGTATAGTTTTATAAAGTAGGGCTCTAGACTTCCTTTTTCCACTGGTGGGACTGGTGCTACCAACTTTTTCAGTTGATGGCACCAGCACAAGATTTGGTCGCAACAATTTTTTCGCCACTGTGCGCCGATTAATGACCATACAGAACAAGGCTGATAATGACTAGCCATCTTTAAAATGATGTCCGCGCCCCGCGGAAATCAAATGAGCATGAAAAAAATCTGTTGTTTTTGCATGGGCTGCTCAATCCACCGCATCAGTCGGCCTTCCGCATTTGCGGTGGAAGGTGGCAGAGCTACAGCTGTGTTTGTCAGACCAGGAGACTTCCTGAAAATCGGTCTTCTCATGAAAACGTTTGTAGTGTCGGAACGGTTTGAGGTACAAACTAATATGACCCCTCTATGGAAGGATAAGACTCTCACGAACACAAACATCTAGGATTCCCACAAGCCTCACAAGACTCGTCTGAAGGTAGACTGATACGAGTTTAAAAAATGAATGGAAATGCAGTGCATTCGGAAAGTATTCAGACCCCTTCACTTTTCCACATTTTGTTACGTTACAGCCTTATTCTAAAATTGATTAAATCGTTTTTTTCCCTCCAATCTACACACGAAAATAGGTTTAGAAGTGTTTGCACATGTATTAAAAACAGAAATACCTTATTTACATAAGTATTCAGACCCTATGAGACTTGAAGTTGAGCTCCGGTGCATCCTGTTTCCATTGATCATCCTTGAGATGTTTCTACAACTTGATTGGAGTCCACCTGTGGTAAATTCAATTGATTGGACATGATTTGGAAAGGCGCACAACTGTCTATATAGGGTCCCACAGGCCAATATCATCCCTGCGGTGAAGCATGGTGGTGGCAGCATCATGCTGTGGGAATGTTTTCAGCGGCAGGGACTGGGAGAATAGTCAGGATCGAGGGAAAGATGAACGGAACAAAGTACAGAGAGATCCTTGATGAAAACCTGCTCCAGAGTGCTCAGGACCTCAGACTGGGGCGAAGGTTCACCTTCCAACAAGACAATGACCCTAAGCACACAGCCAAGATGACGCATGAGTGGCTTCGGGAAAAGTCTCAATGTCCTTGAGTGGCCCAGCCAGAACCCGGACTTGAACCCGATCGAACATCTCTCGAGAGACCTGAAAATAGCTGTGCAGCGACGCTCCACATCCAACTTGACAGAGCTTGAGAGGATCTGCAGAGAAGAATGGGAGAAACTCCCCAAATACAGGTGTGCCAAGCTTGTAGCGTCATACCCAAGAAGACTCAAGGCTATAATCGCTGCCAAAGGTGCTTCAACAAAGTACTGAGTAAAGGGTCTGAATACTTATGTAAATGTGATATTTCAGGTTTTTTGCAAAAAAAATTTAAACCAGTTTTTTCATTGTCATTATGGGGTATTGTGTGTAGATTGAGGGGGGAAAAAAACAATTTGATCAATTTTAGAATAAGGCTGTAACGTAACAAAATTTGGAAAAAGTGAGGGGGTCTGAATACTTTCCGAATGCACTGTATATATGGAAGTACTTTTGTGCCAAAGAAAGGGGTTAAATACGGGTAAAAATATATAATTAGAACTTTCTTATATTTCTTAGATATAGGACAGACACTTCAAAACATACCTCCTTTTGATTTCTTTTTTGACTGTTTTGCCATGTATGAATATGTTATTCAATGCGTTAATATGGGCTAATAGCAGTAAGACCAAATTCAATGTTTCAAAAAACATTGAATATATTTTTTATACTGACAGGGGTCCTAAAATTCCAAATCAAATAGCAAAATGATCCTTGGTATGACCATCTTAAAACAATTCCATATGTTAGCTTAATAGAAACCCAGCCCTAGGCCCTTTGACCTTAGGGGTTTTTAACTTGACTCATATTTACATTGATTGTTTTCAGAGGAAAAAATCAAACCTTTGCACAATCTAAAAAAAAGGTGCTATTGTTAGCGATTTTGAACAGTCACTCTACAGTTGTAGGGCCCTATAAAATCAGTTTTATCTTTTGGTAAATTTGTGTTTGGCTACATGTGATGGCAGAGTTTGCTAAACAAATGCCCAGCGATTGATATAAATCATATTCTGCCAGGTAGGCCTACTTTGCAGTCAAAATTTAATTGGGAATGTTTTTTGGGAAAGCCTTTAGAAATGTTAATTCAAACAGCGCATGATGACTGAATTGAAGGTCGCAATGTGAGTGTTTTGGTTGCAGTGTTGAGCCCTGTATAGTATGTAATGTGATTGCCTACTCCTGTATCTGCACTTTGTTAATTTGTATTATACGTCTGTTTTTTGTCTTCTGCTTTCTTTCTACTATTATTGACCAATCTGTCTGCTCTCTCCACAGCCTCCATAGCAGTGCGCCGCCTGATCAGTGTATCTGAGGTGAACAAAACCGGCTCTACTTATGGCAAAATGGAGGGCAAGAAGGAGAACTAGAACTCTTTATGGCAGTCACGTTACGGTCCCTCTACGGTCAACGCTCGGTGTCTGAGCGGTCGTTGCGGTCCCCGCACAGACAGACCCTGTGCAGCCACCCTCCTTTAAAAATAAGTAAAAACACAGCCGGAGGGTGGGGGGGGGGGGATATAACTGAATAGACTTTCTAGATGTAAGCTAAAATATTAATTATGATGATTGTGATACGGAAAACAAAATTTAAAATGGAACTGTTGCAGTTGACTCCCTCTGAATGCATCCTTCCAGTGAGAGGGGGGTGACAGACAGCAGGACTGAATGGTAGATACCAGGGGGTGTAGCTCTTTAGCACCAAACGCTTCCTGCACCCCAGCTCGAGGCCCCCCATGGGTGTCTGTCTCCTCCGCACAGCCTTGTTGGTTCACCTCATCCACATGCTCCAGAACTCTCCTGTTGTAGCAGTACCACTTTCTCCAACATGCACACCACTTCCTGCCACAGCAGCCCACCCTAAAGAAGTTCTCTCCACCTATCAAATATGCTAATTTTCTGCTTTAGTATCTCTGACTGGGCCAGCCCACACCAGTCATACGTCCCTCTGTAGTTTCAGCAAGGTGCTCTACTGTCTGGAGAAGACTGAGATTCCCAGCATGCTTTAGCTCCCCACCCTTCCCCTCCATGAGGGTTGGGTGTGGAGGTGAAGGAATCTTAACACCTCTGAGCACATCCTGTTATTTGTTTGTCCATCTCCTCATGAAACTTGAGCTGAATCCTGACACAAACGAGATTGAGCATGCTGCTACTCCCCCCGTCCCTCCCAGAAAAGCACAGATGTGACGGCCAACCTCGCACCACTAAAATGCAGTATTTAATGTTAATTTAATGACAGGTTTGGGCCGGAGTTGATTTCTGAATTGCTTGTAGATCCCATAAATACTGGTTGTTAAAAACAATAAAAAATGAATCGTTTGGTTGCCAATGAATATACAAAAGTGATTGAATGATGGGATTTCCAATGTCAAGATGTAATCCTCACTTTTTTCTGTGTGACATAATAAATGTATTTCCCTACAGTACTCTGTCGTGAATTGTTCAGAGGGTTTTGAGGAGTGCTTCTCGTCAATGGTGGATCAACATCTAATAATTAACACAAATTAATTGTAAAATAGTTAGGTCTACCATCCCACCACACCCCGGTCCCCCCTCTATTTGACCCCTTAGTGTATGCAATTTAAAATCCACAACCACAGTTTGAACGCCTATAGGCCCATCATAAGATAAGGTAAAACAAAGCTAGTGTAGGAGTCGTCCAGTGGCCAAGAGATTTGAGGACTCATCTGAGGACAACACCATCCCTAACCCTGGGTGTCCCTACCATCTAACTCGGCTTCCAGCAGAATAGATTTATGCTTTCACCAAGAGCAGGTGAAGTGTCCCACAGGCCATTTGCAGAGTGAATTTTCCCATATCCATAATTGGATTTTCCAGCATTTTAACAGCAAGGTAACACTTTATGCATGGCCAGTTATATATATATATATGGCCAGTTATTGGCATTCTAAAATACTATGCCCCCCCCCCATGTTGAAATTTGCCCAATAATGTATTATTAAAAAGTTATATTTTTAGGGCTGGCTCTTTCACCCAATAACCTATAGGCTTACATGGTCCATATTATCAGACAGGTGTGTTATTTTAGCAATAGGAATCATCACCTACAGTGTGTAAAACTGATGCAGCATAGTGGCTATACATAGATGGCTGAAGCATGGGGTTGCCCATCTGCATTAATACCCCAGTGGGCTAATGATTAGTTCAAAGACTAGATTATCTTTTTGCTAGTTAGCCAGGTATTGATGATTTTTATGTCCTAAAAAACGTTCCACTGCCAATGATGTCTATCAAGACGGTATAATATGTGGGTGGGCTATCTGTTCTATCTGAAGCCAAGACATGGGGAAACACCTTATAGAGAGAGAATTTGTAGTTTAAAAGGAAAGGAGAAAAGAAAGAGTAGAGAGTGGTCATGCTGATTTAGCCACACACCGCTAGCTGGGGCCCCTGTGCGGTGTCAGGGTCGTTGGGGGTGTAATGCAGTTAGGAATTTACTGTAAACTCACTCCACAGCTAGCTTGAAATGTCGCGGATGGAGGCATCCAATCAGTACCTTTTGGGTGGCTAAACCGTTGGAACGTTGTCAATGAGGGCGGTCAAGTGTGTTGCGAAGCAGAGGATCACTGGTTTGAGCCCAGCTTGGGGCACTTTGACAGTGGAGGAAGCAAAGCTGTTAGCAGCACACAGGTGCTGCTGATACTACTGCTTCATCTGCTGCTGCTCCTGCTGGGTTCAGCAAACTCAACAGAGCTAGCATTCCCAACCGATGGAGCTGCTGGTCCATGATCAGCCACAGCAGGCTGGACAGAAGCCCCAGGGTGGAGTTGGGCTCTGGCTTGGGTAGGGTAAGCCACATGGGTACGCTGGGTGGTGGGCAGTGGTTTTGACCTCTGGGTCCATTGATAATGCCAGAGTGCTGGAAAGGGGATCCATGTGTTACGTGGATAACCCGGGGACCAGGCGGGATTGGGGCACCAGGTGACAGGTTTGGTGCCAGGTAGGACTTGCTGGGCATGGGCACCAGATGGCAGATGGGTTCCATGGCGACGCTGCTTCCTATCACCACTTCTTCCCATTCTGAGAGCCTGGGGCAAGAACAGAATTTAGAAAAGCAGAAGAAGATCCATGTCTAAACAGTGTGTTCTGATTAGCTCAGACTACTAGAGCATGGCTGTCGCTGGGCAACACGGACTTTCAACTCCCTCCAAAGATTTTCTATGGGGTTGAGATCTGGAGACTGGCTAGGCCACTCCAGGACCTTGAAATGCTTCTTACAAAGCCACTCCTTCGTTGCCCGGGCGGTGTGTTTGGGATCATTGTCATGCTGAAAGACCCAGCCACGTTTCATCTTCAATGCCCTTGCTGATGGAAGGAGGTTTTCACTCAAAATCTCACGATACATGGCCCCATTCATTCTTTCCTTTACACGGATCAGTCGTCCTGGTCCCTTTGCAGAAAAACAGCCCCAAAGCATGATGTTTCCACCCCCATGCTTCACAGTAGGTATGGTGTTCTTTGGATGCAACTCAGCATTCTTTGTCCTCCAAACACGACGAGTTGAGTTTTTACCAAAAAGTTATATTTTGGTTTCATCTGACCATATGACATTCTCCCAATCCTCTTCTGGATCATCCAAATGCACTCTAGCAAACTGCAGGATTTGAGTCCCTGGCGGCGTAGTGTGTTACTGATGGTAGGCTTTGTTACTTTGGTCCCAGCTCTCTGCAGGTCATTCACTAGGTCCCCCCGTGTGGTTCTGGGATTTTTGCTCACCGTTCTTGTGATCATTTTGACCCCACGGGGTGAGATCTTGCGTGGAGCCCCAGATCGAGGGAGATTATCAGTGGTCTTGTATGTCTTCCATTTCCTAATAATTGCTCCCACAGTTGATTTCTTCAAACCAAGCTGCTTACCTATTGCAGATTCAGTCTCCCCAGCCTGGTGCAGGTCCACAATTTTGTTTCTGGTGTCCTTTGACAGCTCTTTGGTCTTGGCCATAGTGGAGTTTGGAGTGTGACTGTTTGAGGTTGTGGACAGGTGTCTTTTATACTGATAACAAGCTCAAACAGGTGCCATTAATACAGGTAACGAGTGGAGGACAGAGGAGCCTCTTAAAAAAGAAGTTACAGGTCTGTGAGAGCCAGAAATCTTGCTTGTTTGTAGGTGACCAAATACTTATTTTCCACCATAATTTGCAAATAAATTCATTAAAAATCCTACAATGTGATTTTCTGGATTTTTTTTCCTCAATTTGTCTGTCATAGTTGACGTGTACCTATGATGAAAATTACAGGCGTCTCTCATCTTTTTAAGTGGGAGAACTTGCACAATTGGTGGCTGACTAAATACCTTTTTCCCCCACTGTATGTTTGTGAATTGTGTATGTTTTCTACTGTACAATGAACTCAGTGGAGTTCATAAAAATAAAAATTGAATTTTTAGATAAAACTATACTAAATATAATCACGTCACCAAATAACTGATTAAAACAAATTATTTTGCAAAGAAGGTCTACAGTAACCTCAACAGCACTCTGTTGGGTAGCACCATGGTGTAGCCGGAGGACAGCTAGCTTCCGTTCTCCTCTGGGTACATTGACTTCAATACAAAACTTAGGAGGCGCATGGTTCTCACCATAGATTTACACAGTAATTATGACAACTTCCGGAGGACGTCCTCCAACCTAACAGAGCTATTGCAGCATGAACTGACATGTTGTCCACCCAATCAAAGGATCAGAGAATTAATCTAGTTCTGAAAGCATAAGCTACAGCTAGCTAGCACTGCAGTGCATAGAATGTGGTGAGTAGTTGACTCAAAGAGAGAGAAAGACAGTAGTTGGACAGTTTTTAACAAATTAATTTCTTCCAAAATGAAGAAGTAGCAAGAGAGAAATAGAGAGAGAGTGTCATTTCAGTTTCACTTAGCTAGCAAATGCAGCTAGCTAGTTTAGCCTACTGAAACACCCTGCTCAAACAGAGGGATGCTATGTTAGCTAGCTGGCTATGACTTTCCAACACAACACAAATTCTTCCAGCTTTTGGTTTGACAAATGTATTGCCACCGGGGGCCGCCAGTGTAACTGCTTACTGACTGTACACTAACGTTACTGCATGATTGTAGCGGGTTTACTAACACATGAATTATATTAGCTATGCTTACTATGATGTTACTTTAGCTAATATAGTGACAACAATGTAGGCTGTGCGTAGCGGTTTGGCTTGGGAAGGTTTTTTTGCCTGGTCACATACAGCTGATGTGTTGTGCATTGAAGTCCACAAGCGAAGTGAAGAGGTGAGGAGGAGAGCGCATAGATGCAAGAAGGAATACAACGTGGCTGCTATGAAAGTTAACTGTGCTTACGTGTGATCAGGGGTGTATTCATTCTGCCGATTCTGTTGAAAAACATTTCTTAAATGGAACAAAATGGGGATAAACATACCTGAATTTACACCCTATATCAGCTAGATGCAGGCAAGAGTGTGCAAGGCGGTATTTAATGTCACTGTATGTCCATGTGTCACTGTCACCTCATATTTGTCTCTCGACCTGTGTGCACCTACGTTATAAACTCATTCATAGGCTAGGTTGTAGCAACCTCATGATGGGTATAGGGAAAATTAAAGGATCAGGTAGTAGCCTAAACCTATCGCTGTTACATTGAACTGGGTGAATGGAATATGAATGACAGTCATCCAATATGCTGTAATAGAAATAAGGCCATGCTCATGAAAGAAAGTGTCCTCCCTCATCTTAAACGGCACATAGCCACTGAATGAACTCCATTAATGTTCCAGCTGAAGATTTCAATTGTTGGACGTACCTCTAACGGAGGAGCCATTTCCCTCTCCAACACATCCTTAGCAGCACAGGCTTCATTCTAGAAACGAGAGGGTTACAACATTAATGTTCAGTCCTGCACCTTACACCCACATGAAAAAATACTACAGTTTACTGTAGTATACTGTAGAACACTATACTACACAATAGTATCCCTTGATCATGTGTAGTACTTACTATAGAATGTTGTAGAATACTACAGTAAATACGGTATTACACCCCCCCCCCCCCCCCAAAAAAAAAAAATGTACTAGTAAATACTACAATAATGTCTGCAAAAACACTACAGTCTACAGAAACACTACACTTTAACTGAAAAAAATACTACAGTATTTAATTTGCATATACCCTGCCCATTCCCATAACACAATTTGTGCCACCCATAAGTGAGAAACATACATGCCAAGTATAGACCATATTGTGTTCCCTAAAGGTTATAGAAAAGAGTAGAGCCTCTAAACTAGCTGTTCCTACCTAGTGGTTATGGAACATTTGCTATTTTAGTATTTCTCCACTAGGTTTCCTGAAGGAGAAAGCCTCTAATTCTATGTCAAAGATAATAAAACAAAAACACAATTATGTCTACAAAAATACTACAGTCTGCAACTACAGCAAATAC